TTGTTAGTAAAATTAAAAACTTTTATATATAAGGAAAAATATATATTTTACTAATTATAATTAGTAAAAAATTTAAGCGTTGCATTATTTTTGATTGCCACTGTATATATTTCATAAATATATTGAAGAAAATTCTAACTAATATCTTTTTTTAAATATGAATATTTATACTTAACTTTCATCAAAAATCAAGAATATTTTATAATTTAATAAAAGATGTTATTAAAAATAAATCATATGATAATAACTTATATAAAGATGAATTATTTTTTACTTTCCAAATAGTTAATATCAATTTAATATTTTTTATTTACTTAGATATTTAAAATATATTTACTAGTAGTGAAGACAGAAAAAAAACAAATTGAAATTAAGAACAATGAAAATGACAAGCAATCTTCAAATCTTTCATATAATCTTTATAAATCTGAGTTAATATTATTAACTTAGCAAGTTAATATTGTTATGAATTAATAATTTATATTTGATTTTCTTTTTGCTTGCAAATATTATTAGCCTATTTTCAGTAGATGCAACCAATTCTCTGTGAAATCACTCGTCCTCGAGATTTTTTCAAAATATTTTTCTACGATTGATAAAAGATGATTTACAAGGTTCCGAGGTATGAACTAAATGTCACAGAAATTAGTTGCAAGTTGACAAAGCAACACGTTCAACCTAGAAACAAAAAGGTTATAATCTTCCAAAAAAGCCAAAGGACTCGAAAAAGATATCTCTAATTTCACGTGACCTATGACAAAATTTTTGTTGCGGGTTGCAACAAGAACATTTTTCATTAAAAATAGTCAATTGCTTGCATTTACGAATTTATATAATTATGAGATAAAATGTAGTCAGATTAAATGAAACTGGTTACTTTTTTTTTTTCGATAATAATTGTTAAATGATTTAGGTCTTTTTTTGATGACAATTATGGAAAAAGGATTAAGTATGAGTTCAAATATAGAATATGTTATTTCACCCTATTACATTAAATGATGCGGTAAAGGACATCAGATCGGTACTTCTTCATATTATGGGCAGAATGCAATAGAAGCAATATCAATTGTATTAGAATTCTAATACTGTTTCGTAGATCATGCGATTCAAGAAAGAGTCCTCTTATAACTGGTTAAAATATTATTTATTTTGTCATTCTTTTCATGAGTGGTATTCATGTATAAATCCTATGCTTTACTCGATAATTTTACCATTCTCTCGTTTCCAATCCTCGATCCATTTTTCAATACGAGACGCGTTACTATCCATATCATCAATGCTATTACTCTGCAATTCCACCACTTTTTCTGGAGCGTACGACTCTTTCGCCTCGTCGAGAACAACCTGAAATATTTCGCATTCGATGTTCTCGGTTATCTTTTTTGGAGGATAGTTACTGTAATTTGTTCAAGATTAAATCTGTTGATTTTCATAAAGAATTCAGGAAAAAATAATAATCCAGAATTACCGCGCCATTAATCGATCGTATAGAATAGTGTTATCGGTTCGTAGCACCAGTATGAGATCGAACCATCTTTCAGGAAATAATTCACAAGAATGAAAATCTACAATGTGTCCTCCTTTGGACATTTGTTCTTCCATTTCGTCGATTACCTGATTCATTTAATATCACCATACGCAATTTAATTAATTCATGTGCCATTAAAACTTTGAATTTTAGAGTAATACCTTGTCATCATTCAATATATAACTTTGATAATCTTCATCATAACCCTCATGTAACAGTTTTTCCTTAACAAGTGTGCCAACATTAATATACGAAAGGCCGGTATTTTGGGCTGTAAGTTCTGCCAAAGTAGATTTACCAGTACCCGGAGTTCCGGTGATTAGGATATTTGGTAAATTCCTTTAAACTGTTTAAGTATGAACCTCACAAATAAAACGCGACGTGTAAGGATCAGCATAATAATGGGGGGAAATTCTTACCGTTCTGAGGACATATCGTAAGTTATTCATCGTCATCAAATGACCAAAAAAAATCTATATCAAAATTATCAATCATGTGAAATCAAAGATTTATTCAATATGACTCATTACCTTTTGCCACCGATAAAATCTTTGAGTGTTCTCGCGTGTGCTTAAATCCTCACCTCACCGAAAGTTGTTCTAATGAAAATATGCCGTTCAATACAACTCACGAAACTGATTCTTGGGTATTTGATGTTTATTGTAGTAACCCATCATAGTTAAGGCTTATTGACATTTTTACGTATTTTCTTTATGTGAAGAATTCTTTCCTAAGTACCCCTCTTCAGGAGGATGATCCTGAAATTTATGAGCTGATACAAAAAGAGAAGCATCGTCAATTCTCGGGATTAGAATTGATCGCATCGGAGGTAAAAAAAATTTCATTATGATGCGTGCCTAATGTTGACGCTATAATCTAGTTTAACATTAAACATCAATTTTTTCATTTAGAATTTCACGTCACTTTCTGTAATGGAAGCAAATGGCTCGCCATTGACTAATAAATATTCTGAGGGTTTGCCAGGTGCACGCTACTATGGCGGCAACGAATACATTGATCAAATAGAAAATCTTTGTCGTGTACGTGCGTTAAAAGCATTCCGCTTAAATCCTGTAGAGTGGGGTGTTAACGTACAACCTTACTCAGGCAGCACTGCAAACTTTGCCGCGCTCACTGCATTGATTAAACCACATGATCGACTCATGGGTTTAGATTTACCTTCCGGTGGTCACTTAACACACGGTTGGCAAACGGCGAAAAAGAAAATCTCAACCTCATCAATCTATTTTGAGTCGATGCCATACCAAATTAACCCGGAAACTGGACTAATCGATTACGATCGTTTAGAAGAGAATTCGTTACTATTTAAACCGAAATTATTGATATGTGGAGCTAGCGCATATGCTCGTGATTGGGACTACGCGAGGTTGAGAAAAATCGCCGATTTGCATGGCGCGTATTTAATGGCTGACATTGCACATATTAGTGGTTTGGTTGCCGGGCAAGAAGCCAATAATCCATTTGAATTGTGTGATGTTGTGACTACTACAACACACAAGACATTACGAGGACCCCGTGCTGGCCTAATCTTTTTCCGAAAGACTAAAGAAGATCTAGAGACGAGAGTAAATAATGCAGTATTTCCTTCATGTCAAGGTGGACCACATAACAATACTATTGCAGCGGTGGCAGTTGCATTGAAACAGGCTGCATCCCCTGAATTTCGGGAATACGCAAAGCAAGTTCGCGCGAATGCAGTTGCATTGGCTGATGCATTGAATGGATATGGATATAGATTGATGACCAGCGGCACTGAAAATCATTTGATACTTTGGGATTTGAGACCGTTGCATTTGACTGGCAGTAAACTGGAGAAAATATGTGATATGGCGAAGTACGTGGAAATCAAAAATAATGATTAGCATTTCGTTGTATTAAATTATCTGTTTGTAGCATCACTATAAATAAGAATTCGATACACGGCGATTCAAGCATGCTTTCGCCCGGCGGTGTCCGATTAGGTACACCTGCATTAACGTCTAGAAGCTTCAAGGAACAAGATTTCGTCAAAGTTGCCGAATTTTTGCATCGTGCTGTTCAAATCGCAGTATCAATACAGGTATTTCGAGCTATCTATGAAAATACGAATGATATTATAGAATGAATCGAAGAAATAATTTTGAAAACTGTTAGGACAAAGCTAGTAGTAAATTGATGAAAGATTTTGTGGTGGCTTGTCAAGATAACGAGGAAATATCAACTTTAAAAAATGAGGTAGAAACTTTCGCAACTAGTTTCCCGATGCCAGGTATTATTGATAAAAAAAGAAAAACTTTATTTTTGAATGTGATTATTCCACATTGGAATTTATCATATTTATGAATTATGTCTTATACATGTTATTTAGGATTCGACCCTACTTCTCTTGTTCCGGAAGAATCTCATGATCATTATTAACATCAACAAAGATAAATATATGATATATTTTTAGACAATCCCATTTAAATAATAAATTTTTTTGATAGAAATTATTGAACAAACCTTTTTTTTACCGTGTCTAAAATGACAATTAATATGAGTAAAAAAAATTGAAGTAATAATAATTTATTTACCTCAATTTTTGGTCATTTTGATTTCATAAGTGGTTATTTTCATAATCCAAATATCCTTTTATACCAAGCGTTTGAGCTATCCGGCAGCTTTTTATTAATAGCTTTATCTATGGCTTCCATTAGACCAGAATAGTAAGCTGGGTTATCGGCGGGCGATGCGATTTTTTGGGAGAGTGGATACTATTTGAGAAAAGATTGATAACACGAAGAATGAATTACGATAAAAATACCAATATGCTATTAATCGGAGATTTACAAGCATAGAAATTATTCTTTATACTTTTGCCTTAAACTCGTTATCCAATAATCTTTTCAGCGCATCTAGTTCTCGTTCTGCCTCTTGGTACAAGGTAGTCAACGCCTCCGGTTCCTGCACGTTTGAGTTCTTCCGAAACTTTTCCTTAACGCTGCTTCTAATAACTTTCTTCAAGTCTCGATCAGGACGAAGATGATCTTTTGGCCAACGAGAGCTGAGGCGAAGGAAACTCCGATAAAGGTGAAGAAGTTCTGTCGGAGTTTTGTGAATTTGCACCATTGTTATGTTAATAAATTTTTTGGTGGAAAATACCTCATGTGATATCGTATCAATGATCAACTCGAGGGGAATTTTTCTATAACGATAAAACATGGATACAGTAATGTCAAAGAAATTTGTTTCCGAAGAAGAAATTCAGGAAGCACGCGAAAGGCGTAAGGCCGAATGGAAAAGGGTGCTCGAAGAGGGGGGAGAAAGTAACATTATTATTTTTAAATATTACTTGAAAAGATCAGTGGGACTCGATGTTTTCTTCTTAATTAACCTTTTATATATCAATATGCTCGACAGAGTCTAATATTGAGGCAGCCATAAAAGAAGAAGAATATGATCCAAGGACATTATATGAACGATTACAAGAACAAAAAATGAAAAAAGAGGAAATGTTTCAGGAAATGACGCGATTTAGTGAGTTTTTCATGCGCCACATCATCACTGTGAACAAGAATGGAAAGTAATAGATATTTAAATTGATTTAAGGTAACCTAATTCACAGACTTGACGAGGATGAAATAGATTTTCTAGCTGCTTTGGAGACCGAAGAGCGCAATAAAGAACTGAATAAATTACAGAAAGAAGAGGAGGAGTTAAAAGAATTCAGGCGGTTAGTTTGACAAACAATTGATTGGATTTGGACTAGTTTTTTTTTTTTTTTTGATTCAATTCTTGCTTTATCGAAATTTTCGGACTATTTATTAGTGCCGCGATTGAAGCTGAAAAGAAAGCGGCATCAATTATTAGTATAATACCAACAGCAGCAACGACGACGACGGATCAACAACAAACGTCAATAGTAACCTTTTCAGAAATTCATAATGCTAATTCTTCCCCTACTATTACTACCACTGCTGCTGCTACTACTAATAATAATTCTCTAAAAAGAGATGCTCAACGAATGATACTTGAAGGCGCTGTTAAGCGAAAAAACAGTACCAAAACGCGTAAAAAATCTTTGAACGAGACAGATCCTCCTGCTCCTGCTGCTGTTGATGGAAAAAATCCATCATCATCACCTCGACATTTGGATAAGCGGATTAAATTAGATGAATCATCAACGTTAAAAACAGAAAAGGTTAAAGATAAATCCGTGAAAGAATCTTCATCTACCAAAAAAATAGCCAATTCAAAATCTAATCCTCTAGCATCTATACTGGCATATAGTGAAGATAGCGAAGATGATAATAGCAATTAATAAGTTGATCCGATATTATGATAGCCATTGTTGTATTATACAATAAACAAATCCGAAGTATGACATCATATCAGTCATACCAATCATACCATTTGTCAGCCAATACCAACAAAACTACCTATAAATATCTCACAATAAAGCGGTGTTCTGCTGCTTGTCTTTCCCCTCACTCTGTCCATCCATCTTTACACTAAACAGCATTTAAAAAAAAAAGCATTTAAAAACAAGGACTTTAAGCAAGAACACTTTCAAATCTCGTTTTCCATATCTCTCTTTATTTTTTGACAAATTTCACATAACTTTTTATGTCCGCAATCCAAAATCTTAACGTCTACGGTACGTATAAATCAATGAGAAAGCCTGTGAACATTGCAAATCTGAGTGATTAAATAAATGGTAGTTAATTTGCTTTCGCCTTTATTAGACCCTTTCGCTGACACCGGTGAAGACGAGGCAGGGCAAACTCAAGGATATATTCGTATCCTTTTTGACTTTGATACTAACGTTAATTTTCAGCAAAAACGTAACATCATTATCCTTGACCCACCCTTATTGTTACGCAATAGATATTCGTATTCAACAGAGAAACGGTCGAAAGACTTTGACTACTGTACAAGGAGTACCAGCTGATTATGACCAAAAGAAATTGTTAAAAGCCTTCAAGAAGGTATTATCAAAACTTTATCATCATGATTCTTAACAATAAGTTAATAACTCGTAATCTAAAAATAAATGATGAAACAGGAATTCGCATGCAATGGAACTCTAGTTCAAGATGAAGAGCTTGGACAAGTGATTCAATTACAAGGAGACCAACGTCTCAAAGTTTCCAACTTCCTCGCCGAAGAAGGAATCGACAAAAAGATCATCAAGATCCACGGTTTCTAGGCGCTCTTGTGAGCGTTTAGAAATCACGTTCGCTTCGCGAAAAGAGTTTTGTTCGATTTCTTTGGATAAAAGGAAATGTTACAATTGATGTATATAATTAAAGGAGGATTCGTTTATTTTGGATATATGGATATAATTGTTGTTTTGCTGTATAGATCCACGAGTCATATTTTTTTTATTATTTAGAATATCAAATAAATAAATTATAACATCAGTTTTTAGCTTATCATTTCAGAAGAGAAATATGTGTTACGATGCAAAATTGATAAATTCAATTTTTAATTCAAATTGATAGCAAAAAAATTGCATGTACTACTTTATCTGTTATCTGCAACAAAAATAGCAAACTTTATATTCGAAAAATGAAAAACACATTTTCACAAATATTTATTTTTAATAATGGATATTGTTTTTTAATTATATATATCATTTTTTGTTTTCTAGTTAGAAAATTATAATGGGATATAATTATTAGAAAAAAAGAAATATTTTTACTTTTTATATAATTTTTAAACACATATATAGAAATAACTTAAAATACAGAATTAAAAATTATTATAAAGTTAAAAATTAAGCATTTTATATTTTTTAATTATAATTTGCTTTATTACTTGAAAACTTAATTATTTTAAAGTAATTAATATTAATATTATAAATTTTTTTATTATTAATATAGTAATTCTTATAATTAAGAAATCAAAAGATCAATTTTTATTAGTAAAAAATTATAATTTTCTCTTTTAAGTTTATAATTTTATTTAAAATTTAAAATTTTTTATTAAATATAAAATTTTAATTAGTCAAATTTTTATAATTAGAATAATATTTTCAGAAAAATCTGTAATCTAAAAAAAATATATATTAAATTATAAATTATAAATTTTATTTTAGAATAAAATCAAAAATTATTAATAAAATTATAAATTTTAATATAAAGAAAAACTTTAATTTTATAAATTTTATTAATAAATTTAGTATTTAATATATTATTTTTAATTATTAATATATATTAATATAATAAATATTTAATTTTTTACTAATTATAATTAGTAAAATATATATTTTATATATAAATTTTTAATTTTATTAATTAATTTTAACTTAAAATAAGATTAAAATTCTTTATTTTAATATAAATTTTTTCAAATTTTTCAGATTTTTTCTAAGAAAAATTACTTTAATTATATATAAAATTAATTAATTTTTCTTAATTATTAATTAATAAAAATTAATTATAATTAAAGTAATTTTTTTAGAAAAATTCCAAAATTATATATTAAAAATAAAGAATTTTAATTTTATTTTAAGCTAAAAAAAATAAAAAATATTTATTAATAAAATTAAAAATTTTATATAAAAAATATATAGTTTATTAATTATAATTAATAAAAAAACTTAAGTATTTATTATTAATTATTATTATATATAATTAGTAATAAAAAACTTAATTATTTTTTAAAATTAAATAAAAATCAATAAAAAATAATTTTATTAAATAATAAAAAATTATATATATAATAACAATCAAAAATAATATAATGCTTAAATTTTTTATTAATTATAATTAGTAAAATACATATTTTTTTTATATATAAAAGATTTTAATTTTACTAACAAATATTTTTTATTTTTAGCTCAAAAAATAGCTAAAGTTCTCTAGTTTAATATATATTTTT